AGGAGCCAGGTCAGGTCCGAACAGATTGGCGGAGATTCCCGGGGCTCCGGGCTCTGATTGACATTTCTACGGGCCCGCAAGCCCCTCCTCTCAGCGCCGCGCTCCCTCCTCTTTCGGCAGCCGGAGCAGCCTCTGCCCGCGCCTCGCTGCTCACTGCCCTCCTGTCCCCGAGCAGTGTCGCGCCTCGCTTCCTTCGCGCTCCTCTAGTTTTCACTCCCCCTCCTCGCCCTTCCTCTCCCCTCCCTCTCTGCGCTCCTCTTCCCCCTTGGATCGCTTCCGCTCCTTCGGGCTCTTTCACTCTCCTGGACGCTCGGAAACTCTCTTCCCTCTCCTGCTTTTCCTTTCTCTCTATTCCTTTTCTCTTCTCCCCTTTCCGCTCCCTTCACGCTTTCTTCTCCCCTGTTTTTATCTCTCTCTGTCTACTCCCATAACTCTCCCCCCAGCCCCAGCCCTGGCCTCGGCGGCGCCCTGGGCTCAGGCGGCCTAAAGTTGGGGACACTTAAGGTGCCGTGCGGGGGGTGGGAGTCCGTGGATCTGTGTCTGAGGCTGTGTCTGTGCGTCCGTCCCCGCCCTCACCTCCTCCCCTGCCCTTCCCCAAATCTCGGGTCTGACGTCGCGCCCTCTTATTCGACTTTTCCTCACGTCTCCTTCCGGAGTCGCCAATCGCCGGGGCGCCTTCCAGGCGAGGCCGCCCACCCCGGAGGATACTGCGCGCAGGGCGGGGCGGGGCGGGGACGCGAGCCCGGGCGCTCCGAGTCCCTGCCCGCCCCCTCCGGCCTGCGCCGGGAGGGGCCTCGGGAGGCGCGGGGACGCGGGTTAGTACAGGGTCAGCTCGCCCCTCCCCGCTGCCCGCCCCTCGGTACCTCTTCCCCCCCCCCCGCCCCGCCCCAGCGCGGGGGCCTGGGTCGGGACCAAGATCTCGGTCCAGGGCAGGCGCTGGGGCTTTCCTCGGCCCGGGCCCCCTTTTCGGCTCGCACCCCTTAGACTCCAGGCCACTCTCAACGGCGTAGGGAAGAAGCTAGTAGAGCGGTGCGAGGGGCGAAGGGGTGCGTTCTAGTCGAGCCTTCAAAGGCCATCTCATTGCCCAGGGGGGCGAAGCAGCCCCCTACCCAGAGCACCAAACCCTGAAATCAGCTACTTTAACGCCGCCTGTGTCCGGGTGCGAACCTCTGATTAGAAATGGCGGGCTCTGCCTCTGGAGGGGCTGAAGTGTGGACACCCTGGGGATCCTGGGGAGCCAAGACTGGGACAGGGAGCCTAAGCGGGTGTGCGTGGGGGGGAGGAGCAGAGAGCCAGGTGGCGGAGGCCCCAGGAACTTTCCGAGAGCGCTTCGAGAAGTTTGTATATTGGCATTTTCGGTCCGTAGACACCCTTCGTTTCCCTACCCCATTCCTCTGCTCCCCGGGTCACCGTGCCAAACTGTTTTCTTTCTGTAAAGATCCTATCACCGTCTCGGGTGGGGATGGAGGCGAGACTTTTGGTTTTACAGTGGGCTATTTCCTCCATCAAACCTGAAATCCCGGTATGCGAACGTCCACCTTCACGGATTTGGGCGTGCAGCCGACCGCGGGATTGCAATTCCCGGAATCGCAGCGACTCCGGGCTAAAAGCTTTAGGCCGCGGCGGCGACCGACGCACTGGCCAGGCCTGCAGCCGTAGCGCTCCGGGGACAGCACGGGGGCGGTGACTCTGTCATGGAGTGGCCAGCCTGGGCTGTGGGGCGGAAACTGGCCGCCGCGCACTGATTGAGAGGGGAATTGAATCCGAATTCCACCAGAGTGGAGAGATCGGAGAGTCTCGGCCCCCGGCTGTCTCTCTGGTCTAAGCAGCTCTGGGCAATCCAGCTCAGGAATGAACTCCCAGTTTTGACCCCACCCCTCATTCCCGGTCTCTTTCCACCGGTCTTCGCATAGGGCGGTGGCTCCAGAGAAGAATTGCGCGGGGGCGGGGGGGGTGGGGAGAGTCAAGAGAAAGTTTGGGGGCCACCAGTTTGGTGTTCGATTGGGAAAACTGATGTGTGGCCTTCTCAAATTCGGTCGAGCTCTTTCCCACATCCCCTCCCCACCTGCTTCTCTGCCTGATACCTGGCGTTGGCCTTAGCTGGAGTCTCCCCAGAGGAGGAGATATCAAGGGAAGCTCTGGCTTTGAAATGTTTCCCCGGCGTCTGATTTCGTTTCCAGTTAAACCTCTCAGCCAAGGGGCTTTGGGAACCATGGGCTCGCCTTCTCACAGAAAATCTCAGGGGTTACAAAATTGAGGGTAACATTATTTCCTGGAGTGCTTCCTAGGTGTCAGACCTCGAGCCTCGAGGGCCCTGAACCCCAGAGTTTGCCCAAAGTGGTGGCACCAGACCCAAGCGTGCCAGGTGCCAGATTCCGAGGTGGGGAAACTGTGGGGTGCACTGCAAATGCCCAGACGAAACGCTCGCTATTAAACTCAGCTCTTCCGGAAGGAAAAGAGAAAACCATGAGCCCCGGAGATGCTTCCTCCTCATTAACCAGCTATCGACCTGGCTGCTTCGAGCTGCGGGAGGTGGGAAAGAGGCCAAGGAAGGGCCGAGGTGGTTTTCTGTGAACCAACCACGCAGGTCCGACGGCGCCCATGGCCCAGAAGGAGAATCCCCAGACCCATTCTCGTACCCAAGAACCTCGATTAATTAGGTCCCTCCAGGCGTCCCAGGTCCCGAGCAGAAGCGGCCTCTCCACTACCCTAGTGTCCAGCAGAGATCTGCCCTGCCCTGGCCCGGGAGGTCCGCGCTTCACGTCGGGACTCAGCGTCCTAGGCGGCCGAGCCCCGACGTGGCACTGGCTCCCAAACTCGACCGGGCCAGTGGAGCCCGGCCCCGGACTGAACTCGCGAGTTCGAGGACAGCCGAACCATTTCCAGAGATTTTTAATCCAAGGGACGAGGTCAAAGTGACACACTCACACAGGGAGGAGAAGCAGGTGCACGGGAAGTTGATTTGGGAAAGGCATGCGCGCACAAACGCGCCGCACACAAAAGCTTCTCCGTCCTTTCGCCTTCTTCCACTGTTCCCCGCTCACACAGCGCTTCGGAGGCTTGCTGTAGACGCTCTCTCTACGCGGCCCCGAGTGTGGAAGTGCACGGACAGGGTGTCCATGGCACACGTTTGGTGCACACAGGAGCGCTGCTGGACTCGCACCTGGGCCCGCGCGGCCCGACGTCTGCCCAGGGCCCGCGGGCCGCCAGGCTCAGGGGCAGCGCCACGCGCGGCACGCGAGCCGCTAGCCACCAGGCCCCCTTTCTGCCCCCTCCTCGCCCAGCCTCACGGTGCGCGCGCGTCCCCGTCGGGGGGCGCCGCTGCAGCCCCTGGGTCTCCGCGCCGAGGCCCATCTTCCGTCCTTCCCTCCCAGAACCGAAGTCCCCCGGCTGCAGGGCGGCCGGCGATCCCTCCGCTTCCTGCAGACGCCGCGGCGCACGCTCCCACCGCTCCCTCCCCCCGCGCTCGGGTTACAGGTTAATGAAATGCTCGTTTTCCTCAGTCATTTGTTTTGTTTTCCTGCAAAGTTCTGATAAGTAGCTAACCAACGAAGCTTGTAATTACAATCTTACAGAAACCGGGCCGATCTGTATATAAATCTCACCATCCAATTACAAGATGTAATAATTTTGCACTCAAGCTGGTAATGAGGTCTAATACTCGTGCATGCGATAATCCCCTCTGGATGCTGGCTTGATCAGATGTTGGCTTTGTAATTAGACGGGCAGAAAATCATTATTTCATGTTCAAATAGAAAATGAGGTTGGTGGGAAGTTAATTTCTCTCCGCTCTGTGAAGCGTAGACAAGAATTTAATGATTTAATTACAGTTGTAAGCCCTTTCCATGAGACTTAAATTGAGCTGAGAATATTTTTTTCTTCTCTCTCTCTCCCTCTTCCGCATTCTCTCTCTCCGCTATTAGCAGCCGTGCGGACGCCGGAGTGCGTGGCCTGGCGTCCGCACCGGGAGGGATTTGCATCAGGCCGGAATCCGGACCCCGGGGATCCCAGGAGGCGCGGGCCGACTGCCTGCAGAGCCGCCCCGGAACGGGCTGCAGCGCCCCACCGGTCGCCAGGGCCTCGAGGCCGGTCCCTGGGTCCCGAGAAGCGTCGGGGAAACTTTGGGAGAAACTTTGCCAACTTTGCTGTCGGCGGGGGAGAGGCCGCCCGGCCGGCCGCTGCAGCTGCGGGCCGCGACGCGCGCGGTGGGCCCCAAGTTGGGCCCGGGCATCCGGGAGCCGACCGGGC